TAACCCCTGATAAGCGCAAAGGATCCTCTGACCGTTATTTGGGAGTCCGTCTTTGCAGGCCGGGACCCCTGAATAATATTCCGACCAGCCTTTTGTGCCCTTAGACCCTCCAATCGGGCCCTTGATCGTCGGACCCGGTGGACCCTCTAGGCTCTTCGGGCCTCCTCGAACGCTGCCTCTAGCCGACTCAGGGCCCTTTGACAACACAGGGCCCCTGTTAGGCGCTGTGGAGCTCTGAGCAATATAAATCGCCGGCTCCGGCTTTATCTCTGCTTGGAAAATGGGCGCTTAGGCCCATGCCGCCACGGACCCGACTGCGCGTTACTGGTGGTGTCTGACCGAAATATCGGCCCTTATCGACTCAGTGGGTCTTTGATCAGTGCGCACGGGCCTCTGGCCGGCCTTAAAGTGCCCGGCCCTGCTGGCCGAGGCCCCTGAATGAGACCTCCGGCTGGTCTTTCGGGCCCTTGACGATAGGTTCGGAGAAGCCCTTTGGGCCCCTCGCAACCAAAACGGGGGACACGTGCCCCCTGTGCCCCTCCCCCCCCCCCTGCTTGCGCTATTGGCCAATGGACAACCACGGCCACGGGCTCGATCTGCACTGCCTCCACATCAGTGGTGCTGAAGCTACTGTCAGTGGAGGTTTGTGCTGCGCAGGCCATCCGCTCGACATGATAGTTATATTTTCACACATACCGGAACGAATCATAGTGGCACAGAAAAGCTTGAGGGAAACAGAAAGTTGGGGGGGGGGGGGGACCTTAGAAGTAAGAATATACATCAGCAGACGGATGTCTGTGTGATATATATGTACATGGCGCGAATGAGACAAAATATTCAACTAGGGTTTCGCAGGCTCGTACAAGGCGGCTCGTACACGGAACATGCGGGAGCGTGATGAGGTTCACGGTTGCGTGGAGCAAGAGCGTCTCATCTATGCCTTCTTTGCCTAGCCCAGACCTTGACAAAAGGCAAAATAAAGCCTTACTCTTGCGTGCCTATGTGTCATGTATCATGTGTCAAGTCTTTTGTGTGTAAGACTTGTGTCAAGCCTTTTGTGTATAAGGCTTGTATCAAGCCTTTTGTATAAGGATTGTGTCAAGCCTTTATCTTGTGGACCCATGTCGATGTGCCATTCAAGTTGCCAAGCCCCTATGCTGTTCTCAGTAAGCATTGTCCCATTTATTATGTAATATGGTGAATATCTGTTTGCATTCTCTCTTGTGTGATGTGTGCATGTCGCCAAGCTGTGACTTGTATGGGTGTGACTTGCTGTGTTTCCTCAAATGCACATATGGGACATAAGGAGCTTAATGGGCAAACTGCCAGCTCTACATGAATATGTGTTACTTGCATTCATTCTGCAGGACCCAATCTTCAAACCATGGTAGATATGCCAACAAGATGTCTAGGGTCATAGTCACAGTCCTAATATCACTATGTCATATTCCTGCCCTGAACAGGAAAGAAGGCTGCTATTAAGACTTTTAACTGTCTTTACCCCTCATCACATGATTTAGCTTAGATTTCACAAGTGATATAACCAGTTTTGTATGCTATACAATGCATTTTGATGTCTTCATTACTCTGATCCTCAATGCACCCAATTTTATTGAGCTACTCCAAATTAGAAATTGTGCCCAACATCAACCCCAACAAGTGTACCATAGTTTGCAGACTGGTGCAGGACCCTCAGCTTCAAGGATTCACTGTGTTACTCAGTTCTACCTTAAAATGGCTGAAATAATTTCTGCTTGGTGTGTTTCATTGGTTAAGATCAGTGGCAGAAACTGACAAATGTTTAGGTAACAAAACATGCATAGTATACTGGTATGGGTACGGTGTAAGCTAAATCAGTAATCACCAGAATTACCATCAGTTGGGATCACTAGGATAGCATGCACTTTAGAAGAGTCATTCAAGATGTTGAAGCTTGCTGGCCAGCATTAGCCAGAAATTTTGATATGAAGTGTTCATTTACCATACATTTGGACAGTAATTCTTGTGGCATGTATGTTCATAGTGCTTGAGCATTGAAAAATGCAGATATTTACCCACAAGTGAGATTTTAATGGATATCTTATAGCCAGCATGATACAAGCACAACTGTATTTCTAGTCAAGGTGCAAAAACAAAAACAAAAAAGGAATGTATGAAGTAAATCTATTTAACTTGTGTTTGGGTTCCATGGGCCTTAATAATTCATATTGCAGATAATAGCCATCACCATGCTTGCAACAAATGAAGCTCCTGGTACTTCTGGCTGCTAACTGTGCGACAAACCTGCCAGCCAGTCTACGATGAACCTTACAGTTGCAAGTCTTGCTGCAGACTGACCCTGCATTTATCCTGCTGGCCCCTGACTTGACCTTCGCACAGCCATTGAACCACTGGGACAAGCACAGCATCAGGCAATGCCAGGTGGCAGCTCCACTGTCAGCCATGCTTCAACAGTATCAGTATTGGATGTGGCCAGAGAGAGTTAGCCTTCCATGGAGCAAATGAGGCACATCATTCAAATAATGAAAAGTCTTGCATAGTTTCTTAATGAAGAGCAGTGCAGAGTGCCAGGAGCAATTATCTTTTGAGTCAGTGGCATTGTGCAGCATTTCGCAGACTTTATTCACTTCATACTTAAAAGCCATGTGTGCCAAATCTGTTGAAAACATGTGCACCATTCCAGTGTGATATCAATGCTAGATGAGTTGACAGCTGCATCAGTCCAAAGCTGGCAACATCTGCTCTAGGTCAGCCACAAAATGTGTGGGTATGCTCTGACACTCATCTGTTCATTGATGGGAACAGGGCATGCAGGTACATTTTCTGTTCCAGGATGTTACCTTTGTTGCCTCCATTAAGACCTGCACGTGCCCTGCTCCGAAGATGCCTGAGTGGTCCCGCCCAGCTAAGGCCATACAGCGAATATGTGCAGGGACAGTCCCCAGCACCAAAAATCAGAGAGTACTTCTATTACATCGACCACCAGGGCATGGTGAGCTCCATTAATACATTCTTTGCGTGTTATTTTTAGTGTTCGTGTTTACCATAGGGTCTCACTGGTCGCAAAGGCTCCGGAATGCTTTTTGCTCTTCCGCTGATTTTTGAAATAATACTGGTTAACCACCAATTCAGCAGTATCAGCTGTGTTAGATTAGCATTGTCAGCATTATCAGCAATGTTTTAATATTGCAAATTCAATCTATTTTACGTCATATGGGCAAGTCTGCTAGTTATTTGTTGCCATGGGCATGCTCATGTGTGTGGATTATTCAGCAAAGCACTATCGAGTGCTGTATTTTTGTCCCGGAGCTCAAAGGGACATAAATTGATATTCCGCCGTCGCGTAACCTTAAGTGTTACCTGTCCAGGTGAGGGTGCGAGGTCTGGTCACCAGGTCACCGTCATAACGGGTGCAATATCGTTGCCCAGTAAGTGCGTTTTTCCTGCCACGTTATTCTCCATTTGCGCCGGGTGACAGCTTGTGTTTGACTTCGCTTGTGATTTGCAGCTGTATTTGGATGATTCTAAGATGAAGAATTTCACGTCTTGCATCAAGGGTAAGATATCGGGATAATACAAATCTGGTGTTATCGATCACTGTCATGGGTCCGCGTGTTCGATTTGCGAGATATTTTTCACTCATATTGTGTGCCTCCTGCAACGTGACCTTGGCGCTTCATCGCGCCGCGCATTGTCTCCGGCTGGCTGCAGCCGCGTTCGTGGTGTGACGCATGCACCAGTCGATGCACATAGCTAGGAATTTCCTCACGGTGGGAGGGCAAATGTCGAATATTCTCCCAACTCCTGACTTTTGAGCGAATTCCTGTGAAATCGGCGAGTGTGGATTGTAAACCTCTTGTCTCAGGTGGAGGACGACCCTCGTGCCCCCTTCCCTGGGTTCCCTGGCACCAGCCTATGCCAGCTGCGGGTCGGTTGAGTGGTGGACTCAGCGACAGGTGCCTGCGGCGGGAGGTCCCGATGAGTAAGACACTGCAATGCTATTTCAGAGCAGAAGTTCCTGCGGTTTTTCTTCAACCAGCTGCGGTTCAACGAGACCGACAGGTACGCTGAGTTCCCGTTCATCTCCCCCTGCGGCCGCGAACGCAACTACATCCGCTGCGACGACCTGCCCATCGTCTTCACGCACGTGCTGCCACCTGCCGAGCCGAACGCCAACGCGAGCCTGTCTTACGCACACGGGGGCGCGCTGCTAACGACGCCCTTCGAGCCGGCCCGGCTGTGCATGCTGCCGTCGACGGGGCGCGTGTACCACCCGGGGCCGGCGCGCGCCGGCGGCGTCGGTCTGGTCCGCTCGGCGCTGGCGATCGAGTTCAGCCGCGGCTTCCGATTCGACGACGGCGAGCACCGGCCGCCGACGCACTTCCAGTGGGCGGGCGAGGCACACCAGCTGACGCAGGAGCTGGTGCCGCTGCTGGAGTGGATGCGGCAGCGCTGTGGCATGGACGACCACCCGAGCGACTCATGACAGGCCGGCAGGGTCCCGGCGGCGACCCGGGAGGTTTTGTAGCAGAGGTGCTGCGTGGCTGCGCCGTCGCCGCGTCCATTTGGCCCCTCTTCCCCATGCCTGTACAGTAGTTACGTGCTGTGAAGAGTGACCCGCAACCCAGCTTTCACACATATGGATATTTGTACATGCTTCAGTGTGTTTAAACAGATCGTCTGTCGCAGGGGATGCACAGGTCCTTGCTGTGTGCAGAGCTGATACTCAACAGGGGAATCTAGTTGCGTGATACTCGTTCTCGGCCGGTCTCTAAGCACTGGGCTCAGGCCACGTGCACCCGCCCCGTTCGGCAAAGCCGGTGCCTTCAGTTTCAATACGTATGCTCGTGTGTCGTTTGTTAAATGTATTAATTCCAACTGCAGCCCGTCCAAGGGCGCGGCCCAGGCCCGGAGGCCCGGCCGGTCCGTCTGGAGGTCGAGGGGACGGGAGATCACAGGAAGCACGTCATCACCACGGCATTAAAACGTTAGGAACCCGGGTGGCCGAGCGGGCCGTGACCCGGCGGGTCTGATCCCGACGCGGCGTCAGGCGGGCCCAGCCGGCAGACTGGAACACCCACGGCGCGCCGCCGTCAGAGCGCGACAAAACACAGTCCGCGTCACAGTGACTACTTTTGTAAACTAGGGACACCCTGCAACAATCTCTGTAAGCTGCCGAGCAATCAGAATCGCTACCGCCGTGCAGGCATGCAGAGTTTTAAGGATACGGTACACTGTCGCGAAGCACGCCGCACCCTGGCCGTCAGTTGGGGGCGCTTGCCGCTTTGATTGGGAATGATCGTCAGCGGGCACCGTTCCGCACAAGATAGCTGCCTAGGGGCAGGACAATGTCACCGAATCTCGCAGCTGTCAAGCGAGCCGCGATCGCACGCGTCATCCACCGTCGTACTCACAACAGGCGGAGAAGTAGAATGCCAGTGGAACGCCTTCAGCCTGCAACCACTTCCGCCTTCACATCGCGACAGCAGGGTCTGTCGAGACCAACGTCGGCTCGGCCCGGCCAGGTCAATGGGCGTCCTGCGCCGGCATCTGCCAGCCACGAGCCTTCGCGAAGGAGCCCTCTTTCAGCTGGCGATAGTTCAGAGTCGGCCATTCGCCAGCTGGCGGAGCGCGGGACCCGAGGCCTGTGATCGACACAGCTGTCGCGGCCGCAGGCCGCGCCGGGCCCGTCACGCGCACGCCACTCACTGCCAGCGCCGCCGGTGCCGGAGCCGCCGTCGCCGCACTGCTCGCTATCGCGGAAGCTCCGCCGACGAGCGCTCGGCTCTTGGCGCAACCCGACCGCGGCGGGCGAGGCACGCTGCCGCCCCGGGCCCCTGCCGGCCGCGGTACACACTAGATCACAGATCACTAACGCGTCCGTCGCTGTCAGCCGCGCGTGCGGGCGGCACCGCCGCAGCGCGCGGGCCGCGTCGGCCGTCGCTCAGAGCGACTCCGGTTTGGAGAAGATGTCCAGGCTGCCGGGCTGCACCCACGAGTAGCCGGCGCTACTCGGGCCCGAGGGCGCCTCCTCCCTCTGGCGGAGGACGTCGGTCGTCATGCGCTGATCACTGGCGAGGTGAACAAGACATGTGCAGCAGGTGTGTCATGCATCACAGGCATGCCCAGCTCCGAGCGAAATGTCTGTGTGAAAAGGTATGACCGCTTCAGTGGTTAAGCGTCACGGGAAACACTCCGATGGCTTACCAGACATCTTTGGCGCGCGCATCCATCCTTAGCCACCGTGGCATTCGTCGCGGAAACCCAATTCACTGATAGAAAATGGTGGCACTGCTGGTTGGAATGCGAACATGTCACTGGCTCGCTCCTATAAATATTATAGAGCGACGCGCGTGGGTCGCACCGGTCAAGCAGCATCACTCGGGCCTCTGCCACCCGAAGCACGAGCGCTAGTCTGGTGGACAATAAGATAGGAACTCCACGACAGGAGATAATCCATCGGTGGCCTAGATGGCGCACCCGAGCACTGGCTGAGGTTCACGGCTCACGTCCTCTAAGCCGTACCAGCGCCACGCTTCCACGCGACGTGATATCAATATTTCCCGATTACTCCAATAAAAACTGGATACGACTGATACCCGCAGCCCACCGGATGAAACAGATGCCAGCCGAATGATGGTGCGTGGTTCCACAGCATACGGTGCCAAACTTTTCATAGCATTAGGTCCACCGCTTATTTTACCCAACCGTTGGTGCAGTCTTCCCTCCCATCCCCAGGCGTTTCATCAAGGCAAGAATTAGAGCCGAAACGTTTCCAGCTCACAAGACCGTTAGTCTCACTCCATTGGACAACATCAAAGCTAGTCTGCCGCTATCCCCCTGCTAAAGCTCCTGTCGATCCTAATTCCTAATTCCTACATTTCAACTAATTCCTACTAATTCAATTTTCTACTAATTTCTACTACCACTAATAATCATTCCTACTAATTCAAAGTCCTAATTCAAACATCGCATCAATCACTCCCGAAAGAAACAACCTTGGGGTGCGAAAATCAGCAGGCCCCTGGGCCGCGCACCACAGCCGTCTTCGGGTCGCGCCGGCGACAGGCACACCCCTGCACGCGTGCTGGCGCGTGCCCACCTTGGGGTTGAGCATGGCCTGGCGGACAGGGCCGTGCACTTCCGGCTTGTACTGGCTGAAGACGATGCTGTGCGGGTCGTCGGAGGGCGGCGGCTCGGTCAGACGCTCCCGGCTCCGCCGCACGCAGTCGGTCGCCCGTTGCGCGAACATGTCACGCGCCTTCTCGTACCTGCGATGGCGGCGGCGGCGGCGGCGGCGGCGTCAGGCGACGGCGCCGGCTCATCGGGCGCAGGTGCGGGAGCGAGGTGACGGGTGTGCCAGACGCGGGTGACAGGGCGTACATCAGGTGACAGGTCAGGAGACCGCTGTACCGATGACGCCAGTTGGGGGAGGGAGAGGACAGGGGGGGGGGGGGGGACACTGAACGGACACAGCAGAGCCGTCATTCACCATGTCCCGCAGGGAACCGCAGTAACATTTATAAGCGCCGCCTTACTAAACTGCTGAGCACGGCTATTGCTTGCATTTTACCGCTTCAGTGTGGATTGCCTACCTGCACCAAATACAGTAACATTCGGGTTTTTAATTATCCTGAGACGTCACAGCCTTTAGTTAACGCAAATCTGAGGCCACTTCTCATTTCAACAGCAGCATCGTACCAAAGCATGCGCCAACAGTCGTAGTTGCCTGCAGCTCAACTACGTTGTTGAACCAGAACAACTTGGTCGTTGCTATGCCATTTTGTTGTTCATGCTGTCGCATACCACGACGAGCTAAGTCAGGCTTCTTGCAATGCAATGCACGATTTCTCCTAAGCGACGCACCCCAGCCACTCATATAAACGTCAATGACTGAAAGGCCCGGGACATCCCACTAGAGGGCAGCAGCCCCCAAACCACGCCGGCTGCGCGGCACGCACTCACAGAACGGCCGCCTCCGGGTTGGACGGCTGCACCGTCTCGATCTTGTAGAAGGCCTTGCGCAGGTAGAGCAGCACGTGCCAAATGTGGTGTGAGTTGCGCTTCCACTTCTGGAAGCCGCGCCGCACGTCCACCTCGCCCGTCTCCGGGTGGACCAGTGGGTGGAACACAGGCTGCTCCATCACCACGCGCTGCCAGACGACGGGGGTCACAGGTCAGCCAAGCTGGTGTCGCCAGGCGGCCGCTGCCCTGACACTACCGCTCCACACGAGCAGCACCCTGATGGACGCTCGGAGGCGTTGCCCCCTCCAGTGTTGTAGGAGCGCTGGCCGGCCAGGCTGACGCCTCTTGGCGAGCGCACCATCGGCTCGCATCCCAGACTGGTCTGACCAATCACAGCTGTCCAAGTGAAGGTCCGGTTCATAGGTTACAGCAGACACAGCCTTAGCCAAGCTGCGAGCTTTCGCGACAAATATGCATCGATCAATGACGTCATAAGCAGCTGGACATCCCCGTGTCGTCCAGGCACCACCCACCTCTGTACTCCAAACTACTACAGACCGACGCGCCCATGCGGGATCCCTACCACACAAATTTCGACACACAGCGGTGTAACCAAAGGCGCGCGCGCCAGTTCCAACAGCGCTCCCTGGAAACTCCGGCCAATTTCCCCTGCGCAGTGCGATCGGCGTGCCTACCGGGCAGTCTCCGTCGGGGAAGAGCTCGGGGATGATGACGGAGAAGCGGAACACTCCTTCCTGGTAGTAGCCCTGCCGTATGAACAACACCCCGAACCACACTGCAATGGAAAGTGGGACGGGGTGGCGTGTCACAGGCTGTCTACCAGTCGGCTACACTATTACGCATGCCAACACAATAAGATAACTTACAAATCGCCAGGGTTTCCCAGACCCGCAACATGGAAAGGATGGCACATAACTGCATAGTGCTGGTGACTGGTATCGCTTTGACACTAATTTATTTACCGCTCAATTACGACTGACAGCAATTACGTTAACTGTCAGGCATATACATCAAGTTGAGTACAACGTCACCACCGCTTTTTACTCTCTTTACTTACTTTACTTTACTCTCTTACTCAGATTAGACGCTACACCCAGTATAATCCGTGCTCGGCTTGCACCTCATAGGCCGTTCCCAGCAGGCATCCCCTCCCGTACGTCCCCCACCCCCTCCCGTGCGGCGGGCCGCCTCTCACCAAGCGGCGTCTTGGCGGCGGGCATGACGTAGACGCCTGGCACACGCTGCTTCTGCAACAGGTTGTACTCCGCCAGCAGGGCGTACTCCAGGAAGAAGGGGCCGTAGCAGTGCGCGCCCTTGGGCGAGCTGGTGCGGCTGTCGATCAGCTGGCTGCTCATGGCCAGCTGCTGCTCCGGGTCCGGCACGCTCGGCAGCAGCTTGCGCATCGAACCGCGCCGCACAAACGCCGACCCCGCGTCCATCTGCCGGCGACGGGCGGAAGCTCGAGTGTCGAGGTCCAAGCTAGAGGGATGTAACCGGTTTAGACGTGATTCAACAAGTAACACGTCGATTGCTCAAGCGACTTATAGCCGTGCTCACTAAATCGCAGGTGTTTTTTTCCACAAAAGCATTGCTCCCCACATTACATCGATAACAAACATGTTTACACAAAAGTACGGTGCATGCGCAGTGCAATGCACTGATGCATTGCACCGCCGCCGGCAACGCCTGCAGAAGTAGCTAGCCGGCAGCCAGCGCTCAACACAGGTACCCCAGGAAAGCCGCCGGAATGTATAATATATCATATATAGTATAATAAATAACACAGCGCACCAGTAACATAATATCGTCGGAATAACACGGCGACCCGCCGAGAAAGCCGAGTGCGCCAATACTTCCCATCACGCAGCGGTAACGAATCGAATTACCGGCATTAAAACGGCGGTAAACTACGACATTGGCGGAGGCTTTCGGCGGCGCCGTGGGAGCGTGCTGACGAGATTATAATGGCTGTTCGCACGCCAGCGGCGTCAATGGGCTGGCGATGTCCGCCGGTCTGAACCGGCAGGCCGCAACGCACATGACCTGTCACGGTCACCGAGCGCACAAGCCGGGCCGAGTCTCGTGACCCATATGCGATCACCGGTGACCTGTGTGTTTCTGCGCCAGACGTTGCTCGTTGCCGGCGTTCTTACGTGAGGAAAACGCGGTGTGAGGCTTCCTGTTTCGCAGTCAATGCGACCACTGCAGTGACACGCATGCTGTTGACAGCAGGCGCTATCTCGGTGTTATGCAGTAAGCGAGCACTGTGCTCCATCTCCGAAATTCCATCCTGGTACCGAATTCTCAAACAGCCGGTGTGATTGAGAACCCGTGCACCTCCAGGAACTATTCGAGAACTCTTCAAAGACATCTCAACGGCTCTTCATCTCACGTCATTCCCCACACCACGTGCGAAACTCCCGTGGCACCGCCACGTCATGCACACGGACGCATCACCTGACCAAATAACCGACGGCGTCGCCCCGTGACGCTGGAGCCTCCCAGCAGTCACCCGGTCCCCAGTGCCAAAGAGAGGCGGGCACCGTGACCAACCAGCCACGAACTCAACAAAGAGGCCTTGCGAGCGCGGCGGCTCACGTAAACGGCCTCAGCGGCGCTGCGCCGCGTGACAACAGCCGCCCGCGGCGCGTGACGACCGCGTGACAGGCGCGTGAGACGACCTGTACGGCGTGCATCTCTGCGGGGGGGGGGGGGGCGCCGTCGTCACATCGCGTGAGGTCTTCCGCGGCGAACCGAGCGCCGACGGCAGGCCCGACCGAGCCCACGTCGGGGGGGGCGGGGGGGGGGGGGGGCGTCGTCACATCGCGTGAGGTCTTCCGCGGTGAACCGAGCGCCGACGGCAGGCCCGACCGAACCCACGTCGGCCGCAAAGGCTGCCCGTCCGCTCCACGCCGCCGACTCCGGACATCACGTCTCCCGCGTCCCATGCTGCTGCCAGCGCGACGGCGAAAGGCGCGCGCCTCGACCGCATCGGTGCTGACCCCGCCCCGGCGTTGGCCGGTCCGCCGCGGCGCCGGCCACCGCCACCGCGCGAGGCCGCCCGGCCGCCCGCACCGGAAGCGGACGCGCCCGAGCGGCGGACGCAAATGCGGCGCCCAGGCTGCGATCGACGGACCGCCTCGTCCGGACGGCGCAGCTGGCCGGCAGGGAGGGTGCGGCCGGAGACGGAGCCGCGCCGGACAAGGCAGCTGGCCGGCAGGGAGGGTGCGGCCGGAGACGGAGCCGCACCGGACAAGGCAGCTGGCCGGCAGGGAGGGGTGCGGCCGGAGACGGAGCCGCGCCGGACAAGGCAGCTGGCCGGCAGGGAGGGTACGGCCAGGGACGGAGACGCGCCGGACAAGGCAGCTGGCCGGCAGGGAGGGTGCGGCCGGAGACGGAGCCGCGCCGGACAAGGCAGCTGGCCGGCAGGGAGGGTACGGCCAGGGACGGAGACGTGCCGGACATGACAGCTGGCCGGCAGGGAGGGTGCGGCCGGAGACGGAGCCGCGCCGGACAAGGCAGCTGGCCGGCAGGGAGGGTACGGCTGGAAACGGAGCCGCGCCAGACGAGGTGGACGGCACGCAGGGATCCGTCAGAAGTACAGCATTGACATCCGCGGCGTCGCTTGGCGTCTGCCGGCAGCCGGCGCCGACGGTGGAGTGTGAATGCCGAATGAGTTTTGTGCTCGGGCATGAATGGGAAATGCGATGCACGAATCCATCGGCGCGGGCCAGCTAAAGTATGGCAGACGTTGACAAGAAAATACACGCACAATGGCAGAAGTAATCCTCAGAAAAATATAGCTTAAGTCCAGGTGAAGCCCGGCACCGGCAATCGCAGGTGACACTGCACGCCATTTGAGAGTCCCGCAACGCCGGGTGTGACGCCGCCAGAGCGTGACAGCGCCACGCCGCCGCCTCCGGAGGCGGCGGACTCGGTCGTGTTCGGTGAGCGACATCGGTAGCCTCACACGCCGACCACAAAGGGCGAGCGTCCCGCACTAACACATATGTTCGCCTTTGTTTTGCTGGATGGAAGTGGTGCAATTCGGGGAGGGGCAGATTCGTGACATTCCGCCGGACGGTTACTGGAGGAAAACAGGCCACCATCATGCCAGCCGACAGCTCTAGGGCGACTAACGGCAGCACGTGACCAAACGGGGCGCAAGGTGTCAACGGCCCTCGCACAGCTGGAGGATACATGGCTACCGCAAGCCTAGGGGTACACCACGCCCATACCCATGCGACCGCTGCCTCCCTCCCCCGTCTTATAGGCCAGCCACCCGAGGGTTCCAACCCATCCCCCCGGTCTAGTACCGTTTCACGGCCCAGCCGGCGGGCAGCTGGTCAGATTGGCGATGAAAGCGCCCGTCAAACCGGCAGCGGCCGCTGACCGCCGCCAGACGAGGCCGCGCTGCCACGCCGGGGCCGCCCGACGCGCGCGGCGCGCGTCGGAGCGGTGCGGCGTCGGCACGCCGGGTCACGGCACGTGCACCGACCGCCGGGGTCAACGCATCGGCGCGGGATGTGGCTGGCGGCCGGCGAGAGTGGCGCCAGAGCCGGCGAGCCGTTACCGGGTGGGGCGCGACGCCGGCCAGCGGCCGACCAACGGGCGCGCGGCTGGGCGGCGCCGCTCGCGCGCGCCTATCGGCGGCGCGCGGCGCCACACGCGCCGCCGCCGCCGCCGGTTCCCGTCTGGCCGCGTCTATTCCGTGGCCCAGCGACGCCGGCCGCCGTCCAGCCGATATCATTGGGCGCGGCGCATAATCGGCCGTCCGCTCCCAGGGTTTCACCGAGACATCGAGACCCGGTTTCTCGTTGCGTTTTACCGGGTGCGAGCGGACCGGCGCGGCGGCCGGCCCGCCGGGAATTGGTCAGCGCGCGCAGCGGCCAGCGCGGTCGGTGGTGCAGCGGCGACACCCGAGCCGTACTCGCCCGGTGGAGAGCGGCGCGACGCGCCAGTCCAGCCAGATCGGCGCACCGGCCGGCGCAACCGCCGGACATTCCACACCCGCACCGAGCATGCGAGCATGCAACACCCGACACACACGCCGACCGACGCGTCCGGACGCATGCCGAAGCCGTGTGGCGTGCGGCAGGCTGAGACAACCGCTCATCGCGGCGCCCACAGCGCCGGGCGGCCGCCGCCGTCGGTCAGCTGGCGTTGCAGGCCGGCGGCGGCCAGCTGGTGGCTGTGCGGCGGCGGCGCGGACGAGCCGCACAGACCGCGAGACGCTGGCCACGTGGGAACGGCGGCGCACCCCGCGGGTCGGAGAACAGCAGCAAAGCGACGCCGCAAACAGGCTCACCGAACGCTGGACACGGGCTTCAGCTGGACGCTCCGCTCTTCCTGCACTTTCTCCACCCGTCCACCCTCCGCGCTTCCCGCTTAGTCAGCCTCGCTATAAAACATCTAGCACAGCCATGGTTGACAGCCATGGTCCGTTGGTGGCCTCCTTGACACCGATGAGGCCGCCAACGAAAAGACCGGGATCCGCGGACCGCTCGGCGTCATTTCAGCACCTCTCGCGGCTCACGACCGGCCGTTCAGCTTCACCTAGCCGAGACCATTGGTCCTGACACGGCCGACCGGCCTCTTACCCCGTGCCCCCCCTCCCCCCCCCCTGCGTGCCAGCCCACCGGCCGTGGTCCCGTGTCGACTGACCCAGGGTCAGGGCGCCATCTGTCGGCCGGGCCGCCGCGGCCAGCCGTGAAGCTTCCGCCCGGCCGGCGACCCACAATCGGGCGCCATACCAGCATCAGGTGGTGCCGCATGCACGAGAGACGGGCGATGGGACTCAACCGGCCACTGAATTGTAGCCGGCTGGGCACTGACGGCCGAGGGCCGCAGGGATCCGTAACAAGTGGGGTCACGACAGACCAGGTTGGAGAGAGCTGAGGCCAACCGGGCACTGAAGGTCGGGGAGCAGACCGACCGGTCACAGGTGGACGACGGTGGAGAAGAAGCAGACGACCATATGAGAAGGGGGTGGAATTTTGCAGAACAAGTTAGAGGGCCGAGCGGGGAAAAGTGGTTAAAGCCACCCTCAACATACACTTTAAAACGAGCAACAGGTACACAAAACGGCAAAAGGGTACAAAACCAACAAACTTTCCTCTCAGTTGGAAGGGGCTGCAGAAGCGGCCCCTTCCCAACTGAAAACAAAACTACACCCCTGCACTGAGGACTCAGACGAGCTAGTAACGGCGGCCCGAGCGTTACGCTGTGGAGCTGCGATTGTCCGGTCACAGACGCGCATGACCGGTCGCCAGCCGGCCCAGGTGGACACTTACTCCTCATAAACCAACCCACCCTCGACGGATGTCAGAAGGCGGTAGATGGGGTGCCTTTTTCGAGTCATATGATGTCGCCATTACGGCTTTACGATGCTTTCAGCTGTTGAGGCTATATGGCGTCGCCTGCCTCTCACCCTGACCGGTCAGGCGGGCGGCGTTCCGGCGCGCCGGTCCGCGGGGACGCTGGGTCAGAGGTACGGGTCAGGCGGGCGGCGCTCCGGCGCGCCGGTCCGCGGGGGACACTGGGTCAGAGGTACGGGTCAGGCGGGCGGCGCTCCGGCGCGCCGGTCCGCGGGGACACTGGGTCAGAGGTACGGGTCAGGCGGGCGGCGCTCCGGCGCGCCGGTCCGCGGGGACACTGGGTCAGACGTACGGGTCAGGCGGGCGCCGCAGCCGGGCAGCAAACAATGGCGCGCCGTCCTGACCCCATGACCGCGGCCGGCGCGGAGCGGGACGAATACGTGGCTGGGAGGCCGCGCGGAGAGGTCTGGGCGGACACGACGCGCGCCGGTCGGCGGCCACCGCACCTTCGCGACGCTTACACCGGGATGGACTGTGAAGTCGCTGCGTGGAAGAACGGACCCGAGGAAATCCAAACGCCATCAGACCCGTGGTGGGTGATAGGGGAGGAGCCGTCAACAGCCAGTGGTCGTGGAACTATGGGCCTCCGCGGTACCAGAAAATTGCCCTACGACTGGAGATCGCTTCTCTACACAAAGCTTTGAAGAGCTGTGACTAAATCATCGATCTTGCAAACGGCCATATAGGTCAAACAAACTGTCAAACAACTCTGATGACAAAAGTGTGCTGCTTGCTAGAGATCATGAGATCAAAAATCCATACCATACAAGAGCACAACTTCATGATACAAATCAAATTGCAGGGCCTTGTAGGGGAAAACAACCTGAGTGCAGGTCTATACAGGCCATTTATATATATATATATATATATATATATATATATATATATACATACATATATCTGTCTCTCCGTCTCCGTCTCCGTCTCCGTCTCCGTCTCCGTCTCCGTCTCCGTCTCCGTCTCCGTCTCCGTCTCCGTCTCCGTCTCCGTCTCCGTCTCCGTCTCCGTCTCCGTCTCCGTCTCCGTCTCCGTCTCCGTCTCCGTCTCCGTCTCCGTCTCCGTCTCCGTCTCCGTCTCCGTCTCCGTCTCCGTCTCCGTCTCCGTCTCCGTCTCCGTCTCCGTCTCCGTCTCCGTCTCCGTCTCCGTCTCCGTCTCCGTCTCCGTCTCCGTCTCCGTCTCTCTCTCTCTCTCTCTCTCTCTCTCTCTCTCTCTCTCTCTCTCTCTCTCTCTCTCTCTCTCTCTCTCTCTCTCTCCCTCTCTCTCTTTCTCTCCTCTGTGACAATATAGTGGCATAAGTGTGTCAGCTCCTGCTCCTCTACACCACAGGACTGGATGATCAGCATAAAGCTAGACAGCAGTCAGTCCAGCATCCTGTCATCTTGAACTTGGCAAGTGGGTAAGCAGGTCAGAATGACATAGCTTGGAGTCAAAGGGCTACAGATTGCGAGTCAATGAAAAATTGTGCCAGCAGAAATGGCCAATGGATCGAGTCTATTAACATGACTGAGTCACATCCTTGACACCCAACTGGATGAATTTTGCCCCTCCCCAGCCCCCATGTTGGATGGATGATCTCGAAGGTGCTAACAAAATTAGGAAGCATTTCAGGAGAATGACCTGGGAATATCAACACACAGCTGGCTTAGGCATCAGCAGTATCTCAGGCCTGCCAAATGCCACTGGTCACAGGTGCTTTTTTACCAGCATTGGGTTACAACATGCATACTCTTTTATTTGTCACCTATTCCCAGATAATCTAGGGACATTTCAGGATGCCAGACGATAAGCGACATGAGCAAGTGTAACACATAGAAATAGTTTTCTACTGCATCAGCAGTGGCTAGCGATACTTGGCAACAATGTCAGTGCATACACATAAACAAATCTGAGTACTGAGGGTTGAACACACAGTCACCTCCAATTTCAGCCATGAGCAATTTGTTCAAGAAATTGTGATGTCACAAGTGAGATTACATCCAAAACAAAATATGCAAACATTTCACACACAAATAGTTTGAAAATTCAGCCAAATTTGACCAAAATGCTTGTTTGGTGGGGCTTGTCAGACCACAGGCACCTGGTGGACAGGTTTCCCAGACTGGGCCACAGTCACTTCATAAGCTATGCTTAATTTTTGTGTGCCCCATTGAGGCTTCACCCAGCTGCACACTCAGCACTCATCACTTGACTGTTGAGGCTATATGACATCACCAGCCTCTCACCTTGGCAGGAGGAGCAGGCACCACAGGGAATCAAACCCTGTACCTCTGGTTTCACAAATGCCACACACTCATACAATAGTTTCACAACTGTGACACTGCCAATATCCTAAGCTTGATTCTTAAAGGAATTTTTCACATTTGAGAATATTGAAGCAAGCACCAGATGGTGAAATAAGCTCATTTGTGACTATCAGTACACTTTGCATTGGAAAAGACTCATCTAAACAACACAACATCTCTGTTAAGCAAAATGCTCCTCAATACATCATAGTTTGATTGTGCCATCACACTTATACAACACTGATCAAGAGTCAATTGACAAACATTATACCTGGAAATCATGCTCACAAATAGAACAGCAGAAACAATCACATATTTCCCAGCCATGATTGCCACACAGCCAACAAATGACAGAACTAAATGGTGTCATTATATTGTCATGGATGCCTGGGTGAACTTGAAATAGTCTGCAGATCTTTCCGGATTTGTAGCTAAGAAACTAAAGGGGTCACATCTTAAGAAGGGCAGGGCTCTTGCCTGCACCATATCATCTTCAAGATGACTATTTCAGCTCAAAACCTCATACAAATGTGGCACATTTCCTTTAATGGTATATATGAAGCATGACATCCTGCTCACACAAAGAGGCAGCATGCTTTGTGAATGAGAGCTTTATAATCTTATGAGGGTTCCATTAAAACTATACATCCAGTAAAGCTGCTAATAAAACTTATGAATACTACAAAGTTTTTTTTTTAAAACTTACAAGCCTGGTAAAGCTTCCTACATTCTTGTAAACAATTAAGACACAGCCATCTTGATCTAGCATAAGAGCAGTAGCATGAAAGGAATGAATAGGACTCCTATTATAGGAGCCCTATGTCACTTGTTGTATTGATGGATCCTAGTCAATCCAAATTTCTGTCATTAAATCATTTCAGTTCAGGGATGGCTGAAGCATTGAAGGGCAACAACAGTTGTGTGGCTCAGACATGAACTGTTAATGATGACAACTTAAGGGAGGGACGTGGACAAACATCCCACCATTCAGCATGTTTGTGAACCAGAGACATCTCTACTTATTTGTCAGTCTGGAAAATACCTATCCACTTGACTGGACATCTGCACAAAATTTTCATGCTGAGGTTAGTGTGCTAGTGCTCCAAATGCAAGCCTGGACAATTTCTGCTGAATTTCAAAATGTGGTTTCTTGAAAAATGTTTTTTGAGTGTTTGTGCTCAACATGTATTTTGAAACCAAATACATTGAAACAATGATTTTTTACGTACTGCTATCAATGGAAACATGCTACAAATTCTAACACCTTTTATTTTCAATGTGCATGCTCTGAAATTGTTACTGACACCGCCTATGCAATGCATTTTGTCATTATCTGTTACCTATGTCACTGATTATGAGAATTCCAAATTTGTTAAAGGTCTACCAAAAGATGCCATGCTTAAGTAGGCCAGTCTGCAAAAAATCCATCCAATCCAGCAACCACCAGATGCTTATGCTATAGCCTGTTCACCTATGGCCAATATCCAGGTACCATATAGTGAGCTTTTATTTAGCTACCATGTTCTCATTTTGCTTTACATTCCCCACCCAATCCCCCCGCAACCCATGTCCCATTGGCATCAAGGATCAAATTTCATGGATTCTTGTTACCTTGGCAGGTACATTTTTATGGTTCTTGATGCTGCTTGATGTGCAGTAATGTTGTGACCATGTGCAGTAATGGCGCTGGTGTTGCGGCTGCTGTGTGTGTGCGGCGCTTGGGAGCTCGCCATCGTAATTATAAAAAATTTTGAAGGTAAGAGCATCAATCCACCTGTTTTGTGATTATTTACAATATGTCCTGCCTTAAACATGACAAATGGTGTACAATTATTTTTCTAACATTAGGTAGGAAAGTACACCCTGACCAAACACCTTGACATGTTTGCATGGTTTGCAGACTGGGACATTGGTGGTGCTGCACTGCGCCAAATGATGAATTTTACAGTCAGAAGTGCTGACTTCAGGCTAGGGTAATTGTGTTATTTTTATTTATAAAATATAATTATAATATTTTTGCCAGAAAATATCTTAACATCATAATTCTTTGAAACATGGCTACCTGTGCCCTGAAATTGGTGCTGGCCAAACCAAGCTCTTTCACCAAACTCTGGGCACTTAATTTACAATGTACCTGCAAGAACAACCTCGCGTGATGTTGCTACTACACCTGACATGTTGTGTAACATGCATGTTTTGCAGTCTAGTAAATGTAGGTACCTACCTGATAAGGTGTCAGTTTCGACGACGTAAGTCTATATCAATGTGAGCTATTGGAAGCATCTAACGCGGTACGTTCATTTTCATGGGCCGAGCTCAGGACTGCCTGATTGTATGAATCACTTTTTCACTTGCATCATGCTTCCAGCCTTATCAGCTGACCTCGACGCTTATTTCTTGCGCACAATCAACGCACTACTTCAGTCGAACGAGGTCAAAAATGCATACCCGACTTGCACGAGTACTCCTGCACTACACCAAATCTGCTATCCAGACCTACGCGCCACGTCCACTTCCTTCACCATAAACAGACCCTAACGCAATACCCTTCCACGGGCGCCCGTGACGCAGCCTTGACAACGTAGATAAACCGTTCTGCTTGCTGGCATTAGCCACCGCCAAGCCATACGCTATTGATACAAGACTAGCGTTAAAAATACATCTTAAAAATACATTTCAAAACAAAGAGCTAGTTTTCCTACGTATAAAAATTTCAGGGTTTTTGATATATTTAAGCGTTAAGGGTTCTATTATATTATAAGAATATGAAAACTTTAAAGACAATGTTTTTTTCTGATAAACAATAACGACGTGAGGTAGAGGAAATAAGTACCACATGCCTTAAATGCAGGATACTTATTACAGCAGTTGTATGGGTTTTGCAATAGTTTTCTTTTGATATCTGACAAAAAAGCGTCATAGAACAGACCATAAAAGAATAAAAAATGATTGCATTAGTCCTTGTTCTCCTAAAGCTAGATGGATGTCACACCAGGAGAGTGCCAGCGCGAGTAGACGCGAGCTCATTTGTCCATCACAAATTTGAATGCGATGTTTACGTTGCTTGCGCTATTCTCGTTGTAAACTGAAATGTGACAGTGCTTGGGCCCGGCAATTCTTTCTCATTCGGGACAGCAATTGTTGGTCCAAGTTAGGATTTGAATCGGAACGGAAGACTGGTATCAAATGTGAGTACGATCTTCTTTTATTTGGATATGGTGCTGCCATTTATTTTACGATCTGAATGTGCCACCGGGGCGCGCCAGCTTATGGCTGTTTGCACCGGAAATATTTACGCAGGTATTAACATAACTGGCTGCAAAAACATAACTTATGCATAGCATGTCTGGCGTAGTAGTGACTTTTCAGCAACACTTGCAACACATGTACACCAAACAATTGGACATTCAGGGTTTTGGGGCGTGTTTGTCAGCCACCAATTTCAGTGCAGCAGGAGCGAATGGTTCATAGGATTATGACTTTGCAAAGGGTAACTGTAGACATCAATAATTCCCAAACTTTTTCAGGCAAAGTGTAGGGAAATTCTTCCTGGCACAAGTTTGGTTTATGTGTTGGGTTTGGAGCAGTGATAAGGCATAGGGGATGGGCTTTTCGCAGACTGGCATATGTGAGTGTTGAACATTCATGATTGGGGTTCCAAGCTTGACTTTCGTGAGGGTATTAGACTGAATGGATAGAAATGCCAGCAATTTTGGCTAGCAGGAGCCGTATGAAGGTGTGTAAACTGTAAATTGTTTAGATTTTGTAAATGTCCCCTCTTTTGTTGACTCCCCAGTTATGACATTAACTACTGCAGGCCAGTGGCCCAAGGTTCCCTTCTTATTAAACTGACTTGCATTGCATCTGTAGCATTTGTGTCAGACTGAGGGTGAAAAAAATCCACCCATTATCCCCCAATAATGAGCCCTTACGTCACCTAAAATGCTGAATGTGCAGCATGCATATGCAAAACACAAACCAGGCAAGCTGTGCTGAATTTTCAATTTGAAAAATATTTCAGAGTGGAAGTATTTTTGTTAAAAATTTCATTTGACATCTTTCATTTGACATTTTTCATTTGACATCCAAGTTTACCATTACAGGGAGTGTTCCCCAATCACAAATTTGGAAGCAAACATCAGATAATATCAGACAGATTTGATGGAAAGTTTCACTCGTGATAACTGGTATGCTTGTAAGCACAAAATATTATTCTAGGCAACCCAGTTTCATTGTTGAGGACATATGCTACTCAATGCATCATCATTTCATCATGCCATAGGATTTTTTACATCAGTCACCACTGCCAGACTGCTGTGCCATAGTTCTCGCTGTGCCAGATGGGCTGGCTCTCTTGTAGTTGAGCTTGCGGTGAGATGTTTTTTTAATCTGTGTGAATGGAACCAAATATTGTATTGTCATCTTTCAGCCCTTTCTTATGGTGCTCTTGTAAATTTGCCGTGATGGTTTTTGTACACTCCTTTGCACTCTCAGCAATGACACTATACTTAAGATATTCTATTCCTAGCTTTTCTTCTTGCATAACTAAACAAATGCCAAACACATGTATTGTGTATAAAAAATGTGGCCTGTGTTCAAAACCTGTATTCAACTTGTCATATGAGGAAGCCCTTCAGCTCCTGGTTTGTCAGCATTGTGTGTTCAAAGTTGTTATGAGCCTTCATTTAACCAGATTGGGCAGCATGTTTACAATGCTGAGAAATTGTTTTGTCTAGAGCAATCTTTTCTACTAGTCATATCAATATTTACAGCTGAGCTTATTTCACCATCCATAATGCTTGTTCCTATACCTTCAAATGCAGCACATTACTTGTAATGCAGGTGGACTGAAGTGGATTACAGTATGCCTTGTGTCATATCACTGTTCCAGGTCATAGTGTGGAATAAGCTTTGATGTAATTCATGTGTTACTGTTAGGCCCAACAGTCCCAATTATTTGCAGCAAGGTTAAGCTGAAGTTTTTCCTGCTTCCTCTACAAGACGTCGTGGTGGACTCTTGGATCTGTGGTAGTTGTTGCTTTGTTCATGTCATGGTTTATTTATCATAATTGACAAATTGCACAAGTGCTGTACACATTTCGCAGCTCAGGCCCGGGTCCATCCACATAACACACGGCTTGACGTGCTGATGCTGGGTGACAACATTCTGTTCCAAACTCATATCAGACTCACCGCGATGTGCTGACGACAGGCTGCCCGTTCCGCGTCCTGGTCTTTAGGTGGGCATGGCTGTAAGTAGTGGATGTAAGTGGCGCCAACTGCGCTCAGTAGCCGTAGCTGGTGCTGGGAGTGCTCGGGCCGGCCTTAACGGCGCTGCGGCCGCCACTGACGGTGCTAGGACCGCCACCGAGGGCACTAGGACCGCCACCGACAGCGCTGGCGGCGGCGCCTCCGATTCCGGGGCGGCCGCCGTTCGTTGCCCCGAAGGCGGCGCCGGCTCCCAATCGGTACGGGCCGGGGCCGACCGGCGAGTCGGCACGGCTCGGGAACTGGGCCTCGCCCTCGTACGCGACCTGCGCCTGGTAGCCGCTGTCGCCCTCCACGGTGTAGCGCACCACCTGCGTGCGACCGTCGGGCAGCAGCACGCGGTACTCGCCGCTGGTCACCAGACCGTCGCTGTCCTCGCCGTGGTCGTAGAGGTTGCCGTATTCTGGCTGGTCTACGAGCCAGTTGAAGCTGTACGGCATGCCGGGACCGGCGAATGCTCCGCCGGCCTGAGCAGTGGCGGCGAGTCGGCGCAGCTCGGCCACCTGCAGCTGAGACGGAGTCGGCAGGCGGCCGGCGTACCCGGGCCGGCCGATGTCGCCGAGCGGCCCGGGACCGCCGAGCTCGCGCAGGCTCGCCTCACGGACCGCCGTCAGAGAGCCAGGGAGCGCCTGGCCGGCATAGCCCAGGCCTCGCCGCCCGGCGGGGCCCAGCGCGCCCCTCGGGCCGCTGTAGCTGGCGGGGGTTACCCGAGGGGCGGGAGACAGCTGCCGCCGGAGCCCCGGCGCGCCGGCCACGCGGCCCGGGCCGACCGGTCGGTAGGAGGCGGCGCCGCCCGGTGCCAGACGACCGAAGCCGGGTCTCCGCGTCGCTGCCGCCAGGGGCGCGGCGGTGCCGGCGCCGGTCGAGAACGCAGCCGCCGGTGCGTCGTCGGCCGGCGGCGGCGCGCCGTACCCCTCCGGCGAGGCGGCGGCCATCGCCGCGCTCATCGCCAAACACACGCTCAAAAAACACATCATGGCTGTCACTCGATGCTGCTCCGATGGCTGCCGAAGCCAAACGATGCCCGGTCTCGGCAGCGGCCTGGTTATATACCCGGCGACGGTGGCTGGGGCTGCGAGAGCCGCCGGCTCGAGACACCGTCTCGCGCCACGCCGGGCCGTGACCCGCCACCGCGGAAGCCGGCCGCACGGGCCGCCTCCCACACCACCACCGCGCCGGACGGCCGCGGCATGCCCTGGCAGTGTGCTCTGGGCGCGCTGTGGCGGCGCTGAGGGGCACCGGCTCGGTCGCAGCGTGCGTGAGGTGCCGCTGTGACCTGCTGATGGGGAACTCGCGTGATGTGCTGATGGGTGCCGTGGGTCGTGCGGTAAGGTTGATCCCACGGTTGTTGATTACAGCCCATGCTGTACTGGAAAAATGCTATTGTGCAGTTGTACTGTTGTATGTTATGAACTGGGCGAGGGTCAGTTTTTCATGTAGTTGTAGGCTTGGGTTTCAGTAAAGTGGGCTGGATTAGGTTAGTTTATCAAGTCTGTGTTGTGATCGGAGTTAGTCTTTTCTTGACTAAAGGGAAATGGTTTCCCATGGAAAATGTTTGGGATAAACATCAGATTACAGGTATGATAGAAAAACTCACAACCATTGACATGCTTTGGAGTGCAAAAGACTCCTTTAGACAGCATAATTTCACTGTTTAGTACACATGGTCCTCAATGCATCATGTCATGGAATGTTGGTACCTCAGAGCCGCTGCCAGACCGGCCGGGTCAAGATTGTGACTTTGGCACATGGGCTGACTACTGTAGTACCTTTACTCGCCGAGAGGACGTATGTTAATAGACGCGTGTGAACCAAATGAAGTATTGTCGTATGCTCGTGTTTCAGCGCTTTCTGCTGGTGATGATCTTGCATATTTGTCGTGATAGCTTCTTTTTTTTATTTGCCTTTGCATTGTCGCCAATGTCGCTATCCTGAAGTTAGTCCATTCTCATCGTCCCCTATGTCATAACTAATCGAATACCCAAATGCTTGTATTAGGTACCACACAACGTGGTCTGCGTTCGAAACCTGCATTTAACGCGTTATTTAAGAAAGAGATTCCTTCAGCTTCTACTTTGTCTGTGGTATGGGTTCAAAGTTCTTATGGAGAGTTAACATTCTTCAAGATACCAGATGCTGGTGTAATGGCGTTTTAGTGCTAAATGACAAGATAACGCGTTTGGCTGTATTAATATAGTTGTTATTTTGCACTACAACGTTGTTTATCCAGCATCTACCGGCACACTAAAGGTTGTTAACTCTACGTTAGAACCTTGAACTCGTTTAACTTGTTGAACTGGTTGAAAATTAATTGCTGTCCGTTTATACAATTCGCGTCGACGTACTCGAGATGCGAAGAAGTCAATGGCCACACGTTTGATATGAACACATTATGGCCATTGAGATGGTGGAACTCGTGTGACGTTTCTAAGACGTCATACATGACTGGGCAACCTCAAATTAGGCGGCGCGAAATTACCCACACGGGTTTGCGTGCGCCTAGCTCAAAAACGAGGGTATCTACTGTCTAAAAAGGTGTTACAACGAAACTGCAGGAAATGATCTTGAAAACAGCTGCCTCATTTCCGAGCCCCATAGAAATGGTAAACACGGGTGGCGTGAGGTAATTGTGCTTACACCCTCAGCTTCGCACAAACCAAGGGCGGGGCTGGTCTCCCGCTGACCGGTTACCCGGTTAACCGCCAATCGGTGGGTTAGCCGCAGTTCAAGACAAGGCCAGTGGGATACATCTACGTCATCTGTAAGCTTGCTCTCTAGCACCCAGCTTCGCTCTTTGAGCCTGCAGATCAGTGTCGCGACAATGAAAACGGCGACGTTGGGTCAGTCGTAAGGAGCTTCTCTGGATTTGGGTGTAACATCATGTTTTGCTGGTAGGCTCTTTGGTCCTCATTCGCAGCAATGCTAGGCTGTAGTTTTCGCTGGTCCCTCTACCGTACGTGGTCCCTCCACCACGTACGGTAGAGGGACCAGCGAAAACTATAGCCTAGCCTTGCTGCGAATAGTGAGAACCAAAGAGCCTACCAGCAAAACATAAGTAACACCCAACTCCAGAGAAGCTCCTTACGACTGACATAACGTCGCCGTTTTCCTTGTCGCGACACTGATCTGCAGGCTCAAAGAGCGAAGCTGGGTGCTAGAGATCGACTAGCCTTGTCTTGAACTGCGGCTAACCCACCGATTGGCGGTTAACCGGGTAACCGGTCAGCGGGAGACCCGCCCCGCCCTTGGTTTGTGCGAAGCTGAGGGTGTAAGCACAATTACCTCACGCCACCCGTGTTTACCATTTCTATGGGGCTCGGAAATGAGGCAGCTGTTTTCAAGATCATTTCCTGCAGTTTCGTTGTAACACCTTTTTAGACAGAAGATACCCTCGTTTTTTAGCTAGGCGCACGCAAACCCGTGTGGATAATTTCGCGCCGCCTAATTTGAGGTTGCCCAGTCATGTATGACGTCTTAGAAACGTCACACGAGTTCCACCATCTCAATGGCCATAATGTGTTCATATCAAACGTGTGGCCATTGACTTCTTCGCATCTCGAGTACGTCGACGCGAATTGTATAAACGGACAGCAATTAGTTTTCAACCAGTTCATCAAGTTAAACGAGTTCAAGGTTTTAATGTAGAGTTAACAACCTTTAGTGTGCCGGTAGATGCTGGTTAAACAACGTTGTAGTGCAAAATAACAACCGTATTAATACATGCAAACGCGTTATCTTGTCATTTAGCACTAAAACGCCGTTACACCAGCATCTGGTATCTTGAAGAATGTTAACTCTCCATAAGAACTTTGAACCCATACCAAAGACACAGTAGAAGCTGAAGGAATCTCTTTCTTAAATAACGCGTTAAATGCAGGTTTCGAACGCAGACCACGTTGTGTGGTACCCAATACAAGCATTTGGGTATTCGATTAGTTATGACAGAGGTGACGATGAGAATGGACTAACTTCAGGATAGCGACATTGGCGACAATGCAAAGGCAAATAAAAAAAAAGAAGCTATCACGACAAATATGCAAGATCATCACCAGCAGAAAGCGCTAAAACATGAGCATACGACAATACTTCATTTGGTTCACACGCGTCTATTAACATACGTCCTCTCAGCGAGTAAAGGTACTACAGTAGTCAGCCCATGTGCCAAAGTCACAATCTTGACCCGGCCGGTCTGGCAGCGGCTCTGAGGTACCAACATTCCATGACATGATGATGCATTGAAGAGCATGTGTGCTAAACCGGCAGTGGTTTCTTGCTGACCGGTTACCCGGTTAACCGCCAATCGTTGGGTTAGCCGCAGTTCAAGACAAGGCCAGTGGGATACATATCTATGTCATCTGTAGGCTTGCTCTCTAGCACCCAGCTTCGCTCTTTGAGTCTGCAGATCGGTGTCACGACAGCGAAAACGGCGACGTTGGGTCAGTCGTAAGGAGCTTCTCTGGATTTGGGTGTAACATCATGTTTTGCTGGTAGGCTCTTTGGTCCTCATTCGCAGCAATGCTAGGCTGTAGTTTTCGCTGGTCCCTCTACCGTACGTGATGAACTAATGTATCTATGGTAGTCTGTTGCCTTTGTTCATTTCATGGTTTATTTATCATAATTGATAAATTGCACAAGCGCTGTACACATTTTACAGTTCAGGCCCGGGTCCATCCACATAACACACGGCTTGACGTGCCGATGCTGGGTGACAACATTGCGTTCCAAACTCATATCAGACCCAACGCGATGTGCTGACGGCAGGCTGCCCGTTCCGCGTCCTGGTCTTTAGGCGGGCATGGCTGTCAGGTAGTGGATGTAAGTGGCGCCAACTGCGCTCAGTAGCCGTAGCTGGTGCTGGGAGTGCTGGGGTTGGTCTTGACGGCGCTGCGGCCGCCACTGACGGCGCTGCGGCCGCCACTGACGGCACTAGGGCCGCCTCCGACGACGCTGGCGGCGGCGCCTCCGATTCCAGGACGGCCGCCGACCGGTGCCCCGAAGGCGGCGCCGGCTCCCAATCGGTACGGGCCGGGGCCGACCGGCGAGTCGGCGCGGGTCGGGAACTGGGCCTCGCCCTCGTACGTGACCTGCGCTTGGTAGCCGCTGTCGCCCTCCACAGCGTAGCGCACCACCTGCGTGCGACTGTCGGGCAGCAGAACGCGGTACTCGCCGCTGGTCACCAGGCCGTCGCTGTCCTCGCCGTGGTCGTAGAGGTTGCCATATTCGGGCTGGTCGACAAGCCAGCTGAAGCTGTACGGCATGCTGGGACCGGCGAATGCGCCGCCGGCCGGAGTGGCGGCGGCGAGTCGGCGCAGCTCGGCCACTCGCAGCTGGGACGGAGTCGACAGGCGGCCGACGCCGCGGCCGGCGTAGCTGGGCCCGCCGATGTCGTCGAGCGGTCCGGGACCGCCGAGGCCGCGGAGCCTCGCCTCACGGGCCGCCG